ACCGGGTTGACTTTGGAACGGAGCCCCTCTATATAGAGATGAAGTCTCCAAAGTCAACCCGCTTGTTTTTTCATTTTATATGGTTTGTATAGTTCGTATGTTTTGTATTGTTTGTAAATATGTTTGTATGTTTTGTCATTCTAGTTTGTATTGTTTGTATGCCTGTATGGTTTGTACTGTTTGTATGTCCGGGTTGTATACTTTGTAATTTTTCTTAATACCCAAACTATCATTGTAATTAATTAAAAAGATCTTCACACTTTTTGACCATCAAATTGGGGGTTAATTGCACCAAATACCACTTAAGTGGGGTTATTGTTGCAGGGTTACCACTTAAACAAAATTAGTAGCAACTAAAACCTTTAAGTCGTTCTCAAGTAGCAACATTACCACTTCCGTCAACGGAAGTAACGGCAGGTACCGTGAAGGTAATTTTCATGACACATAGGCAGGACAGGTCAGCACCTCTTGCTGACTCATCTTTAGATTTTCTTCCCGCTCATTTCTTCCCACGCGGGCTTGCCATTATCCCGCTCTTCTCCTGCAGTATATATGTTTCCTGTCCCATCTTTTTCACAAGCAGAAAACCATAAAAAGAAACCCATAAGCTGCTGCAAAATAGATCAAGCAAGTGACACACCATAAAAAGTCTCAACTCTGGTAGATATAGAAACTCAGCCTATCCAAAGTTCAGAACGTAGTAGTATAAACTAAAGTGTCCATGCTGCAAATGGTGCAGAAAACCATAAAAAGAAACCCAAGGTGAGAAACCAGCTTCCTCGTAATTGAATAGTAGGCTTACAAGGCCACAACATATTTGTTTAAATCCTTCTAGTGTACTATCAATGGAGATTAAATATAAACAGCAGTGGCAGATTTGTTCAAATCCAAAACCATTACATAACAACAATGGTAAAAGCTGCTGCAAAATAGATTAGAGTCTTCCTGTTCAAACCCAAAACCATAACATAACAACTATGCTAAAAGCTGCTGCAAACCCACACCCCATTCTGTTTCAAAATATATCACATCTTCCCTTTCCCCTTGGACTCTTTTCCTCTAACAGGAAGTTTGCTTTGCCTCCCCTCTCCTTGTGCAAAGCGTGATGCTTGGCCCTCTGATTGCATGAAGCTTTGGCTGCTTTGTCGAGGTGGTAGAGAACCTAAGGTGAAACTTTGGCTGCTTTGTTGGGATGGAAAAGAGGTAGTTTCAGAGGTACTTGAGGGATGCAGTGGACGAGTTCGAGTGCTTCCCTACAAATCAGAAGCAATTTGTAAGAATCTCACAAGTTATAAAGAGCATAATAATAGTCGTTAAACATTAGGACCATACATCAGGCATCCATTGTAGTACAAAACCAGTTGAACCTGTCGGTGGTGTGCTTCCCTACAAACCATAAACCCAAACATCAGAACTGAAAATTTTCTCAAGTAACCAATTATAAAACTATTTATCTCACCTTTGTTGCTGAGTTTTCCCCCTTCTTCCCCTTTGAATGGAATGACTTGTTGTGCCCTGCTAGCTTACACTCACTACAATGAATGGTTCCCTTCTTTCCTTTCTTACTCATCCTCTCATTTGCATCTCTAAACTTGCGTTTCTGTTTTTCAGGGCCTGCTGTCTCCTCAATGCCCTTTTTCCTTTTGGTTTGGCGCCTTCCTTTCTTTGATTCATCTATGGCCAACGGCGGGGGCAGCACAGGTTCCTTCCCACTTGGAAGCCAAGACTCTGGTCCAACCATTGGTTCCACCTCACCAGAGTAAGCCTGAAGGTAAGCTCTAACCTCATAGCACTCATCCACGTAATCCTCTACCCTTTTTGAGAGTTGCCATATGCAGCGTATGGCATGAGGGCAGGGTAAACCTGTTAACTCCCACATCCTACAAGTGCATTTAGACTTACTGACATCAACAACCAACTGACCTTGAGGACATGAAACCTGGAACTTCTGTGGACCACTCTGAATGGCATTACAAGTGAAGCTAGCTTTCTGAGCCGAGTCTAGCCTTCTCTGTATGTTAGGACAGAATCGACCTTTGAATTTCGACTCTGCTTTTACCTTCCTATAACGAAACCTGTGTATCAAGATTTTCCTAATAGTCTCGAACATGCTTATAATCGGTTTGGTCCTAGCTCCTAGTAGAGAGCTATTCCAACTTTCACAAATGTTGTTTGTCAGCAAATCTGACTTCGAATATGGTTGGAACTGTGACCTCGTCCATTGTGAGAATGGCTTGTCAAGCAACCACCTATGAGCATTCTCATTATAACCCTTAAACTCATTCATGCACCTCTTAAATTCCGATTCATAACTAGCTCTAGCACATGACCATAACAAGTCTCTTGTTTTTTTGTTACCTCCTTGTGCCCTAAACAGATTGGACACCAGATGTCTCACACAACATCGGTGTTCAGCATATGGAACAAGAGTCTCTAGAGCATTCAACAGACCCTACAAAACAACATTATAAAACAATTACATCTTAAAACCACATTACTCTACAGCAAAACAATATTATAAAATAAAGTACATTATAACGATATTCTTACTTTTTGCTTATCTGACATAAATGTCCATTTTCCTGAATCCTTGAAGATATCAAGGTCTCGACACAGTTGGTTTAAGAACCAAGTCCAGTTGTCTCCATTCTCAAGTTTGACTGCGGCATATGCTAAAGGAAAACTCTCCCCGTTCCCATCTAGGCTAACTGCAGAGAGTAATTGTCCTCCATAGTCTGTTTTCAAAAAACATCCATCGAGAAGAACTACTTTTCTGCAGAAAGCAGCCCCCAGCTTACAAGGTTGTAAACAGCAATACATCCTCTTGAAGACATTAGAATGCTGAGATGTTTCCACAAAACAGGTTGAACCAGGACTTGTCCTAACAACTTGAGCACAGTAGTCCTGCAGTTTATGATACTGCTCCTTAGCATTGCCTCTCAAAAGATCCAAGGCAATACGTCTAATTCTCCAAGCTTTCCACCTTGAAATAGTCCAATGATAATCTTCTGCAACTGTTTGGACAATTGACGCAACCCCCCATTGTGGATCAGCCTGAAACCTCTGCAGGTACCTTCGAGCTATGTAGTTAGCATCCCCAAAATTGTTCTTGAATATCATGATGCAACCCTCATGCTTTGGACAACAAGATCTTATTTGAACTGCCTTTCCATCATCAGTTGGGGCAACCCATATGTTCCATGGACAACCTGTTTGACACACAACTTGGACCCTTTTACTGTCACTATGCTTAAACTTTAGTGGTTGTTTGCTGTTTATGGAGTAGCTCTTCACGGCTTCCTTGAACGTATCAAAATCCCTGAAAATTTGATGTAGACAGAAATGGGGATCGCTCATGTCCTTCTCTGAATTGAACTCTGGGTACCTTGGATGACTTGGAACCCTATGGACCTCTTCTTCATCATCTGAATTGATGCTGCCTAGGTAGTCTGAATCATATACATCATCCTCAGAATGGACATCAAATGCATCATCTATGTATATTTCATGACTGCCACCCTCTCCATCGTTGCTTAGTCCCTCCATATCTTCATAATTGCCCTCAAAATCAGCATCCAACCCTTGTTCCGGGTCATTCTCTGCAGGGTGATAAGTGTCAAACTCATTTGGTTCCCTGTTGTCAACATAATCAACATTGTTTTGGCAGCCCAAATCATCTTCTAACTCGATCCTTCCCTTGCTGCCACTTTCAGTTTCATTAGACTTGGATAGTGTCTCTGCCATTTCATGTTGAACTTCAGCTAGGCTAGCTTTGGTTAATTCCTCTTTATTGATCAAGTAGATCTCTACAAATTTCGTATCTTGAATAACCTTGGCAGCCATGTCCATAATTTCTTTGTCACTTCTCAGCTCTTGAAGTCCTTCCTTCAATCGTTCTCCTGGTAGCCTCCAATAGTATGCCCAGCCATTCTTCATTCTATATTCCTCCAACATCCTGACACTTTCTGAGAAGCCAAACTCAACAAGATATCCGTCAAGTTCAAACAAAGACAAGCAATCTGGATCTATCCAATCCAGGTACTTAACTTCCCCGCCAAAATAACACAAATCTTCGTCTAGTACATACACAACCTCTCCTTTGTAATGCAGCTCGATGGTGAACTTGTCATCATCGATTCCTAACAAAAACAAAGAAGCCGAATTTAGTTTTAGTAAACCTGAAATCAAATGATGAAAAGTGATCAACAACACAAAAATCCAACTCACCATATGTTGGTATCAGATCGGTATCTCCTACTTCCCTAATAGTTGGACTCATTTTCGTTGATAAAAGCCAGGGGAACACGTGCTTGCTGTTATGTAACCTGCCATTACAGAACAAACCACAAATTCAGCAAGAACAAACCATATGTTGAAAGAAACCCAGAATTCAGCAATAACAAACCACAGATTCATCTATAGAACAGAGCACTTTCGTCTTTCAGGAGTATTTACTTACCGAAATCAGAATCAAGGAGTAGAGGAAGATCAAACAACTTGCAGATTCATTGCAACTTGCTTTCCTCGTCCTCCCATCGGCGGTGGCGGCGGCGGGGTTCTGAATTGGCGGGGTTCTGAACCGCAGACTGATTCCACGTCAACTAGATTTCTAGCCGAGCTTCAGGGCGGCGTTCCTTTCTTGGTTTCTCATGAGAAGCGAAGGTGGTGGCTTTCGGGGAGGTTTTGTCGTTTTTCTTCGCGGTCTGTCAATGGCGTTTAGTATGGGCTGGTCTTGCTAATCCCTTGCCGTCACACAATTGTCTTCCGGAGGAAGGGGTTTTGTTTTTTTGAAATTGCAGAACAGAAAAGAAAAGAGAGGGAGATGAGAAGTCGGGTGATCACACCCTTTGTTTCTCTGCATTTTGGCGAGTGGGCCCAGGCCTAGGTGTGACCCAAAGATGAGTCAGCAAGAGGTGCTGACCTGTCCTGCCTATGTGTCATGAAAATTACCTTCACGGTACCTGCCGTTACTTCCGTTGACGAAATTGGTAACGTTGCTACCGGAGAACGACTTAAATGTTTTAGTTGCTACTAATTCTCTTTAAGTGGTAACCCTGCAACAATAATCCCACTTAAGTGGTATTTGATGCAATTAACCCTCAAATTGGTGTGTCCATATGGCCGGAGGGGTTTAGTAAGCGGCGCTAGTCACCTGATCCGCACTCACCGGCGACGAATGATCGTAGAGAGTAGCTTGGCGCCAGTACACGCGGTGCTAAACGCACGGCCACAAATCTTAATCCTGAACAGAAAGAAACGACAATCGAAACGACTAAACCACCTCCGCAACCCGCCATCGGTAACACCGGGACGACGGCGCCTGGCAAGCCAGTTTAGCTAGCCAATCAAGAGCGATTAGCAATCAAACGACCGCGGCCACCTTTTCTCCACCGGCGGCATCGATGGATCTTGGTTCGTCTTACTATCACTCCACCCGCTATGCTGCTTCTCACCCTCCGCCGCCTGCGCCTCCTCCGCCTTCTCACCGCATTCCCGCTCACCCTGGTTTTTACGATCTCCCACCTCCGCCGTCTTATCCACCTCCTGCCTCCCAGCCTCAGTTCAAGCCCCAAAGTTCCCAATTCTTGATCCACGCCACCAGCGTGATCGAGCCTAATGACACCGTTCACGATGATTACTATTCGATATCGCATCAGAGCTCCCCTCAGTCCCCTCGGGCCTTGCATCCTGGACCCCGTGATAGCGATATTCCTCGCCGATTGCCGGAGTTCGACCATTACAGCCGAGATAGCCGTCCCGATTTCAGAGATTCACCTAGGGTTTTGGTTGATAGTCGACGAAGATTTGACTTCGTGCAGGATAGATATGGAAGGGAGGTAAATATGGGTTCTGTCTCCCCTGTTAGGATTAGGCGTGAGCTGGATGGCAAGTCTAAATTTTTGGGAGATGTGAACGGTAGGACTGAGGACAGTACGAGAAAGGAGGGTTTTCTGGGCCGTGATGGTTCTGAATACCATCATAGTCGTGATCAACACCGCTCTCCCAGGGATTACATGGTTGCGCTGCATCATCATAATTCAAATTCGAGAGTTTTTTACTCGGATTCAGTGGATTATGAGAGACGGCCTGGTTTGATTTCTGATCATGGCAGAGTGAGTGAAAATCACAGGGTGATACATGATAGAGAAGTTAGGAGAGATGTCTCCCACTCCATGGTTGTGATGGGTAACAAGGAGTTCTCTCATGGCGATCATCTTCGAACAAGCTCAGGGAAACGAGAGCACTCCAATAGCAGAGAAGCAAATGTGGGCTCGGAATGGCATAATGGCAAGGTTAATAGAGAGGATCGCAAGTGGTGCATGGAAAGTAGTTATGAGTTTAATCATACGCCAAAGAAGCAAATACCAAAGAAGAGTGCTTTTCTTAGGATTCAGAAGCCTATGTTCAAGAATAAGAACAAGACTCATTTCTCTGGTTACTATGGTGATAGCAAATCTGGTGCTAGGAGTAAAGACCATAGTTCATATTCTGAACCAGTGACAGAAGATGAGATAAGGGGGGAAAACCCTGTTCAGATCGATGTGTCTTTCAAATTAGACTCACTCGTTGCCAAGCCAATTGTCAAACCTTCAACTTCTGTTAGTGCATCAATGGCAAGTCCTGTACCTAGGAATAGTAAAATTAGGGAAGTGGGCATGTCCGAGAAGGATAGTTTGAGCCGATCTCGTTCAAAGCCAAGTAATGTTGCTATTAGATTGAACTCTGTAGTTGTGAAAAATGCAGAAAGTCCTTGCAAGGACCTTGAACAGTCCAAAGAGCAAGTCAGAGCTTCTACTCCTGTTAAGATTCACACTAGTTCTGTGCCTGGTTCCTGTGGAAACGGCGTGACATCTGGAGAGGCTATGTTGGATGGTTCGGGAAAGTACAATCCACCAGATGGAGGAAGTTCAATTATTTCACGCAGTGCTTCTTCGGAGACCGTTGCAAAGAAGAGAAAAGTAGTGAGACAATTGGTCAAGAAGAATGTAAAAGTTGGGTTGTCAAGTTCACAGAAAGCAAAGTTTCCTGATGAACCCTCAAGAGGAGAAGACAATGATTATAGCACACCTTTTTCCTCATGTTCACAGACAGTAAAACTGCCAGATGAACCTCTACGAGCTGAATGCTGTATTGATAGCTCACCTAGAGTATCTGGTTCTGAGAAATCTTATCTCGTAGAATCAGCTGAAGTTATCAGCTCAAAGTGTTGTTTGAGTGAAGGTACCACTCTTCTTGACCATTGCCTACCTTTGCCCTCTGAGTGCAAGAACCATGCTGAAGTCGCTTCAGTTGACAGCAGTGGTTTCCAGGTCTATCCAAAAGATTTTCCTGTGATGCTTGAGAATGACATACTTGAGACATTGGAGAAGGCTGTGGTATCTGATGAACCAAACTCCAATGATAGCTTTTTACATGATGCTTCCGTTGCAATTGGTGAGTTGCAGCTCTGTACAAATTATTTACTTGTGAGGTGTGATAATGACAAGCTTGAGACATTTGAGATGGCTGTGATATCTGATAAATCAGACTCAGTTGAGAATTGTCTAAATGATCCTTCAGTTGAAGTTGGCGATTCACAGCACTACCTGAATGAATTACCTGTCAGACTTGACGCATCAGAGAAGGCTATGGTGTCCGATAAACTAAACTTTGATGGCAATCTTGTACATGATGCTCCAGTTGAAATAGGTGATTCACTGCTCTGTCCAAAAGGTCTACCTCTCATGACCAGGAACAGGAAGCTTGAGGCATCAGAGAAGGCTATGATATCTGATAAACTGAATTCAGATAAGAATTTTGTGCATGATGCTTCAGTTGAAATTGGCAATCCACCACTCTGGGTGAATGATGTACCTGTGATTCCTGAGAGCGAGAAAATTGAGTCATTAGAGAAAGATAACACATCTGTTAAACCAATTCCCAATGAGAATTCTATGCATAATGCCTCCGCTGAAATTAGCGATTCAATGCACTGGCCAAATGATTCACATGTGATTCCTGTGTCTGACAACGAGACATTTCAGAAGGCTATGTTATCAGTTAAACCAAACACTGATGTGAGTTATGTCCATGATGCTCCGTCCGAGGACATGCATGTCATTATTATTGGCAGAGTGGAGGGTAATCTGTCAACTGACTCGAATGTCTCTGATGTCCCTAGCACAGGTGTAGGACTATCCTTTTTGAATGGAAAAGGTGGAACACCACTACAGGGTTTTCTTTCTGAAGAACAACAAGCAAATTTTAAGTCAGAGAGAAGTAAAATTATCAAGGATCCTAAAAATTCACGTAACATGGATGCCTACCTGCAAGAAGGTTCTGTTGTTTCTGATTCCGTCATCAACTCTCCAGGCAAGGGCGATTTGACAGAGCTGTCAAACGCATTTCGAGAGAATGGTCAGAATCAACGTTCAAATGCCAGTATTGGGCTTGCCGAGCAGTGCAATGAGATTTTCTATCATCCGAATTCAGACAATGTGGGTGTTGCGAGTGTTACTGCTACTGCAGTGTATTCTAATCATGGTATCTTAGGTTCTGATAATAGCTCTTCTAGCCATGGGATTAGATACCACATTGTCAGGCAGTCTTCTCCGAACGAAGTTACCATGGCAGTTGAAAATTCAACCCTAAGGTGCTTAAGTGATAGAAGCTGTGCAAATGAAGGTTGTAATACACCTAAGCGGGACAACTGTATAAAAAATGGTGAATTGAATTCTTTTGGCTTTTCCAGATTAGGAGTTGCAGACATGGAGCTTGCAAATGAGCCCAATTCAGCAACATGGGTTGATACCAGTTTGAGGCTATCTTTCAAAGATTCTACCACAGATTTTAAGGACAGTAGTTATGTTGGCTTACGACCTGGGATTGATGGAATTGATGTTGGCAGATCAGGTAGTTTGACAGCTGCTTTGGTAGGTAAGGTCTTGAGTAGCAGGCCTGTCATTGTTGAGTTAGATGACAGTTTTCCAGGGTGTAAAAAGAAGAGAAAAATCTCAGCCTCCGAGCTAGATCTATATTTTGAATTTGCATCACAAGTTAATGAAATAGCTACTAGTACAAGTGTTCTTACTGCTGGTGCTGAAGTGATTTCAGATTCTAGCAGTGATCCAACCAAATCAGAAGTTGCAGTGTCCTTCGTGGAACCTTTGTGTACCTTAGATTGGTCAGGTTCGCGTAAGGGGTTTAATGAAGGAGGTATTGGTGTGGGAGTGTCTCCATCCCAAGTTAATGGAAGAGAGATGGATGTCAGTATGCGTACTCCTGGTGTTGCAGTATTATCCCATTCTTGCAGTGATCCAAGCCAACCAGAAGATGTTACACTTCCTTTCATGGATCCTCTATGTACTTTAGATCGGTCAGGTTCAGATAAGCGGTTTAATGAAGGAGATATGAGCATGGGAGCATCTGCATCAATGGTTAATGGAGGAGCTAAAAGTGGATGTCTGCCTACCCATGATGTTGAAGTACTCTCCCATTCTTGCAATGATCAAAGCATGGAAGGTCCACCACTTTCTGTGGATCCTTTATGTGCCTTAGATTGGTCAGATTCACATAAGCAGCATAATGAAGGAGATGTGAGCATGGCAGTGTCAGCATCGGCAGTGGAAATTACCTCCAGTTTTGAAAGTAGTCCCACTCATTCCGATGTGGATATTGCAATCTCTAACATAACATATCCATGTACAGCAGATTTGCAATTTTCAGAGATAGGGAATTCTATGTTGGTCGACAATCATCCAATGGGAAGTTGTTTTAACACCAAAGGCTCGATTGACAGGGTTCATTATGAGGATAAAATATATATGCCTAGATTTGCTCTTCCAAAAGTGCAAAACCTCTTCCCCAGTTGTGAAGGCAGAAAGACTGAACATGCAACTATAGTTATGAATGACGGAAGCTTTCAAATCTACTCCATTGATTTTGAAAGTGGTAATGAACGAGTGATAGAACCAGAGGCTCTTGAAGACCAAGTAGTTACTAATAATAAGAGTACTCACTCTCAGTGTCATATTCATTCAGAAGTCAAGTCTCCAATGTCAAATGAGGCTTTAACTGCTGTCAATATGGAGACTGACATTTCTTATCTTGAGAAGAACAATCTGCCATCTGTGTCGAATCATCCTTCTTTGTCTGCAAACCTCAATGATCATATCACAGCGATTTTTTCTGACGCAGACCAAGTTCTTACAAATAATGAGAGGGCTCCGGACCATCTTGCTTCAGATTTTCATTCTCCAATGGCAAATGAAACACTGACTGTTGTAGGTATGGAGACTAGCACTTCCTATCTTAAGAAGGTCAATCTCCCATCTGGATCAAATCGCTTTTCTTTGTCTGAGGAGCTCAATCGTCAAAACATGGATATTTTGCCTGATGTATCTGGAGTTAGTTATCCAGAGAAGTTGGCTGATGACGCTGAGACTTCCTTATATGAAACTTTAACAGGGAAGTCTTCCGGAAGCGATGAAATTCCATCTGAGAAGCCTGCAACCGAAGTAGCGAACACACTTGATCTGTGTTCCCAGAATAGGAGAATCATGGTGAGCTCTGATCAAGCTGTTGGAGGTGGCATCTCATTCTCAGGAAGGCCTCAAAATCTTATGTCAAAAGATTCGCACGATATAATTCACAAGCGGAGTTTCCCAAGTGAATCATATGGAAAGAAGCACCAGTCTAGTAATGTGATTCGTATGACTCAACCACGCAGCTCGTCTTTCGTTTTAACTACTTCGAGAAGTGCAGTCCATTCAACACATATCTCAAAACCTCGAACATGGCTTCGAAGTGACGCTTCCAAAGCTTCTACTCTCCCAGGACAGGAGGTTTCCTCAAGTATTGTTGCCACACAAAGGCAATATCCTGCTGGGGCCCAGACTACATCTTTTGTCCGAAAAGGGAACAGTCTTGTTAGGAAATCTTCTCCAGTTGTAGCTCGATCAGAAGGCTCTTCTGCTTCAGTCGCAGTCAACTATAATACAGCGTCTGACAGTAGAGTTGATGTTCTTGGTGCATCAGTTCTTATCAGGGCTTTAGGGACAAATAGTTCGATAGAGAGACCCAGAACACCACCTTTGCCAATTGTCCCTAAGGTGCCACACCGTAGTACCAACATTTCGGTTGACCGTAGATCTTCTCCTGTTCAGAGTCATCTTGGTGATTCCGTTGGATCCAAGTCAGATCCATTAGTAGTTCCTGAGACTAAGGATACACCAAAATCTTCAGAAAGCATGTTGGAAATTTCCAAAGCTCCTGCGATACTAACTGGTAAAGTTAAGAATTTAGAAAACCCAAATGAGGTAAATGAAGGCAGAGTGAGGTCTTCCACTGCTAACATAACCTATGTTAAGGGGAAATCCAACCAGCTTGCCACCTCTAGTCTCTCTGTTTTGTTGGCACATGGTCCTTGTAATAGCCAAGCTCTGTCCTCTGAAAGCTATTACAAAAGAAGTAGAAATCAGCTGGTTAGGACGACATTGGATGATTGCATAAACCCAGGAGATAGAAATTCTGATGATAGGTTGAACTTAGAAGGGCATTATGCCCTGGGTATGAAATCAAGAGGAAGTCTAACCAAGAGAAAGTTGCGCAAAGGTGTGTGTGATGAAGATCTGTTTTGTTTTCTGTTTCTTCTGGATAAATGCATGTCATGAAGCTGGTGTAGCTTATATGCCTTGTGAGCAGCAGTTTTCTTGAATTCTATCTCTATCATTCTTAGTCATTATGCCTTCACACATAAAACCACTGGGGAACCTTAGTATGGTCCTTTACAGTCTCTTCTATGTGGAATAGGTAACATGGATTTGGGCTTTACTAATCAACCCCAGCTACTGGTGAATCTGAATAGCATGAAGTTTGTTTTACTTGTTTGTTTGTGCACTGTATGTAAGCAGCTGTAATGTTTGCTCATGTGTGATGTGTTCCCTTCTGTTGCAGCATTATGCGACGGCTTAGTTTTTTTTTCTTCTTCAACTTGTTGTCATGTGAATACTCGTGCTTGGAGTTATAATCCTGTCAACTTTCTGGGTTTAAACATTACAGCTTCTTATGATTCAGCAATGTGGCTGTAGAATTTCGTCATTCACGTTGTTTTACTCAGTACTGATCATAGGGAAAGAAATATGAACTATGACAGTGAGAATTATCTGTTCTTTGACACGCCACCTCATTCTTGTTCAGTAAACATTATTAGCTAAAAGTTGTTTAGTCCCTTGTCTATGAAGCTGGGACTATTTTTTCAAACTGCATTTCTTGTATTGCTTAGACTTGGTATATGCATCAAGCACAATACTAAGCTGGTTAAATGTTTTAACAGTTGTGACAAAGATACAGAAACCCTCTAAGTATCCTTTGGTCTGGAGGCTAAATGGTACAAAGTCATCAAAGGATAGTGGTTACGCATTGCACTGTCGAAGAATCCTGCCTAACTTGTTTCCTTGGAAAAGGGCAACCTACCGGAGAAATTTTGTTCCAAGTTCATTATCCAGTTCCAATATTGCTTATATAATTAGGTATCACACCATGTGGTGCTTTCGTAGACTTTTATGCTGTTTATTTTAGTTCCTCAGTATTTCCTTCCTCTGAACGGTAACAATTTGCTGCTATCTTTTAGTAAGAAATTGCCTCTCTCAAGAAGCCATGATACCATCTACACAAGGTCAAAGCATGGGTTTTCACTCCGAAAATCGAAGGCCTTAAGTGTTGGTGGTTCTAGCTTGAAGTGGTCAAAATCCATTCAAAGCCGCTCCAAGAAAGCTAATGAGGTTTGTTCAGATTATTTCTTTTTATAGTTTTGGCTGATTTTCTTCATTAATTTGAAGAGTTAGATACCTGTCTATAATTTTCTTATGGAAGTACAGGAAGCTACTCTGGAAGTTGCTGCCTCGGACAAGAAAAAAAGAGAACAAAATGGAGCTGGGGATCTTGTTTCTGAGACCAAGAATAGAAATAATTATCCTAGTAAGTCATCCCAACGGTCTAGACCTTATCTGCTCATCTTTTATTGGCATCAACCTTAGGTTGGTAGTTTCATTTGTGATTGTTCCATTTCCCTTTTTTTCAATATGTTCCAGCATATGGAAAGTTAGTTTAAATATACAAAGTAGCATCAATATATCAGCAATTAACTTGAACCTTTTAAGAACAGGGTTGTAGTTTGTCTTCGAGTTTTACTAACCTCATCCTATGTGTGTTTCAGTGACCCTTCATTAAAATTAGGTTATATACAATTTGAATATTCCTCCCTCTGTTTATGATCACGTGGTGCATTTCATTCACAGTATCATTCTACCGATTTGGGATTTTAGCTCTAGAGTTAGAGGTATATGACCAATCTAGAAATTCCCATATAGTAAATTCTCAATATTTTGTGTTCACTGTTTCCAGGATCTGATTCCTAACAAGTGTCCCTCGTTGATGGTGTCATCAGATGCAATGCTTGCCTTTTTGTGCTAATGCCATGAACCACACTGAATTTTGATACATTTGTTTTGACTGAAACCGACAACTTATGGTCAGTAAGTGCATGTTTAGGTCACCAAATAGGTCTAACAAAGTAATGGCATATATTATGTGTAGATAAACTATCAGCATGTTCTGTGGCACCACAAACACAGAAGGAGGCCAAGAAACCATACGTCCCAAAACGATTAATGATAGGAAAAGATGAGTATGTCTTACTTTCTTTTGCTTTATAATTCCTTATATATTGAGTTGATGATATCTATGCATGGTGTTCTAGAGAATATATGAGATAATCAAATTATTGAATATTGACAGATATTTCCGGATCGGCAGTGGAAATAAACTCATTAGAAACCCCAAGAAGCGAAGTCGCATCTTTGCGAGTGAAAAAGTTAGATGGAGTTTGCACACTGCTAGGTCAAGGCTTGCTAAGAAGCGGAAGTACTGTCAGTTCTTCGCAAGATTTGGCAAGTGCAACAAAGATGATGATGGGAAATGTCCATACATTCATGATCCCTCTAAAATTGCAGTATGCACTAAGTTTATCAATGGCTTATGTTCCAATGCTGACTGCAAATTGACTCACAAGGTTTGTTATAATATCTGATTCAGATGACTCATTTGTATTAGTTGTGTTACTTGACATTCGAAGTTTTGCGGTGTGATTGTATTTTAATTAAACAGGTCATTCCGGAAAGGATGCCCGATTGCTCCTACTTTTTGCTAGGTGCTGCACTTTGCTTCTGTTCTGCTTTGCATACGATCATTGATGAGAAAGAATGCCATAGTTCTAAACCAATTAGTTTGGCAGGTCTTTGCACAAACAAAAGTTGCCCATATAGGCATGTGAATGTCAACCGAAGTGCCTCTACGTGCGAGGAATTTCTTAAAGGATATTGTGCTGACGGAAATGAGGTAACTATTCTGTCCCATTATTTCACTGTCAAATGTTGATTGTTTGCTCATAATGTAATCGTGTGGGGTATTTTAAACCCCATGATATATATCTGGTACACTGATAATAGTTGGTGAACTTGTGGACTGTGGTGCAATGTCTTCAATGAAGATAACAAAATTTCCTGCCTGTCGTGCTATGCTATGGTTTTGACTTTTGCCTTCCATATTGACACGGAACAAGAGGCGGCAAATTAGGGAGGTTGGTGGATTATGTTTTAATGGGTTGCAGGAATTCCTTGGAAACTTTATGTGGTTTGGAGGATTGTTGCCAAGTTTAAGGCACGTCGGTTTAAGTCTTAAGTTTTGTGGGTTAAAATGTAAATGATAGGAGGATTAGTTTGTAAATTGCTAGAGAAGGCTACCTCAGTATTCTGTGAAGAAAGAAAAGTTAGATTTAAATGCTGGACCAGTCGGCAAAATTTTGAAAGTTAGGTACTAAGATATATGCATGAATCTTTAGGTACTTAATGGTTTAGCGTAGCCCTGAATTCCTCTGCTTTAGAAGCTGGAAGAAAGTTGTTGTTACAGTGAGCTTCCCAGTTCTGCAAAAACACATCAACCATACTCATTTACCTACCAACCAATTGGATTTCGATAAAATGTATTGGGGTTAGATGGCTTTTAAGTCCGTGGGTTAGCTTGATATTTGCCATCTCCATGAAGCAGGGATCATATGTTTAACTCATCAATTGCTTGTATCTTTTCTCTTTTGCTTGTGGATTTCTGCAACATGAAATGTCGTACACAGTGTCGGAAGAAGCATAGCTACGTCTGCCCAAGCTACGAAGCAACAGGAACTTGTCCCCAGGGATCCAAGTGTAAGCTTCACCACCCAAAGAACCGTGTCAAAGGAAAGAAACCCAAAAGGCGATTACGGGAGAAGAACCAATTTGGACATGGGCGATACTTTGGTTCGACGACACGTGTCAGCGCTGCTTTGGGGTCTGGAACTTCTGTTGTCCGGAGGCACTCGAGCGAAATCAGAGATGCAGGTCCCGACTTTATTAGCCTTGGTTTCAGTGATGATGAGGAAGCAGCTGGAGAAGAACACAGCAACGACCCAAGAGATGATGATGATGATAAGAAACTGAACTGGAGTGATGATGGGGAGGACCTGGAGGACTTGGACTTAAGTAATCTGGATGAGCTAATTAAGCCAGCCCGAATATTGAACATCGGATGACTACTACCATTATGAGGAAAGTGGTGCCTCGGGAATGAATAAGGTAGTGCAGATTCCTCTTCTGCTGTCTTCGTCCTTGGTAGTCATCAAGGCACCACTTCCCTCATAATGGTAGTAGTCACGTTTCCTCAGTTTTGTTTTTGTTTTTGTTTTTGTTGTCACTTTTCCTCGGTTTTGATTAGGGTCCTTAGCTAGATCAACTGATCCATAATTTCATATGGGGATCTTTCGTTGTTTTGGTTTTTGGAGTTCTGTTTTAGGTAAGAATGTTAGGGTCAAAGGTATAGATGATGTTAGAATTACTATAGGTTGTTGCACAATTGTAAAATTAACTGTGAAGGCAGAATGTAATGAACTGATACTGCTATATGTAACTAGTTACCTAACGTATTACTTTGCCCTTCCTAGAAGTAGAGGTGTATGTGGGTTATTGGGTTGGTTTTGCCCGTTTGGCCGTTTTTAACCACCCAACCAATGAATCTCAGGTTAAATGATGGTAAACGCAAATCTATCCATTGATTTTAAGACCCTACTGGTTTCTTGAGCCAAGAAGTCACTAGGCGTAAGCCGAGCGTTGAGACTTTGTCTAGCTCGCTTAGGCGTAGACTAAGCGTGCCTAGGTGTTGGAAGATAAATATTTATTCGCGCTCTATGATGAATGAAATAATAATCTACAGTACTTTCTCACTTCAGCTAAAATGATTAATAACTTACTCAACACTTAATGACAAGATCATAGCTCACCAATTTAGAGAATCATAACTCAATAGCTCACAAAGTTCTTGAGCTATTGCAATTATTGATATAGAAAATTAATTTCGTAGTTGAAGTTAATTTCCTCCTTTAATATTGGCTACCTAGCTACATGTAGTTATGTTTACGAGAGACTTAGATGTCGCCTTACTCCATTGACGTGTCACAGTATCTAACTAGGCGCAAAATCCCTAAACGAGGCGTTTTGTCATTGCCTTGTACCTAGACATGCTTAATGGTAAGATTAAGCGTGCCTTTTTTAATCATGCTTTTAATAATATAATAATATAGTGAACAATACATATACATAATATGAAACTACAAAACTAGTAAAATTCTATAGTTACATGTAGCATTCCTGAAAATGAATCCATCTCAAACTACTCTCGATTTGCCTATCAGTCATTCCCTCGATTTTGGAATCGTAAATCATGATTCTCACTTAGAAACTTGCTTCTCCTCATCGCTCTTTTCCTTCAACCGACCATCTGTAATGTTGCTTTTCGCCGTCGATGACTGTCAGCGCCTAGCATCTGTAAACCCATAACTTCCTCGTCGCTCAATCCCTTCGACCTGCTCTTTATCTTTCCGCTCTTCATCGTTGCTGACTACCAGTACCAAGTAGCCACAAGCTTCTCCTTGTCACCCATTCTCTTTTGATTCGACCCTATACTCTGATGTTCTTTGTTGTTGCTGACTGTCGGCGCCCAATATCCACAAGTTGTTAGTCATGACTCCGGATTCTGTTGGGAATGAATAGCTTTGAAAGCTATATTGAATTAATTATCCAGTATTTTTCTATATACGAAAATAGAAGGATAATTAATAAATAGAATATTATGGAGATAATTAGAATTAATTATCTTAATATAATATATTTTAATTATGGGAGTAATTATCTCGCTAATTAAATGTGACTTATTCCCAAAGAAAGAGGGAATATTCTGAGTTTTCTGCTTCTATAAATAGCAGAACCCCCAGACCTTCTAAACAGACCTCAGAGAGCAGAAACACGAGACAGAGAGTGAGTTCATAGAGCTCCGGTTTTCGCAGTGAGTTCATAGAGCTCCGGTTTTCGCACAAAACCGATGAGCAACAAAATTAGAGTGGCTGTTTTATCCTGGAGGCGACCGGCTGATAGTCTGCCGTGCGCAACGAAGGCAGTGCCGCGAACGTCTTAAAGAGAGCGACCTAGTCCGCGACTCAGCCAGATCGGTAACCCTAAATTTTCTGTTCGATTTCTAACAATTTTAAGACGTTGTGTTACTGTAAAATCGATCGAACAGATTATCCTATCTGGCTTTGCAAATTTTAATCTCGGAACCGGTGATCGTTATCGAGACGCACGTCTTGGGGAACAGATAGTGGCAACTGGAACAAGAAAGGCGATAGCTTTCAGTTGCTCAACAACTTATTGAGTTGCTGCCACCACTTTGTTTCAGAGTGATTAAATATAGGACGAAGCTACGTTCTTAGTGTATGCAGACTTGTACTTCCCCTATGGCATTAAAGGGTATATCCATAGCTAATATACAGAAGTTCATACATAGAAAGTGGAAACAGAGTGCCCAGCTACAGGTGGATACTGCTTTAATTTGGTGGAGGGTCCAATCCGCCAGAGAGATGCTATTAAGGATAGACATGTCATGAGCCGAGATAGATCGAGCATGGCGTCGTCTCAAAGAGGAGGTACTGGAGGCAGTCAAAACCAATGATATGGCCCCGTTGTTTGAAACCCTAGTGGGCCAGTCGTTGCTTGAGAAAGATCAGAACTTTTCGGAATCGATGGGGAGCAAGATTGAGGAGGAGCTGAAGAAGCTCGACGAAAAAGTACGGTAGACAAGTGGGTGGTGGAAAGAGGAAACTGAGGGGTGGAATATCTGTTTCCCCATTCAAGAGGCCAAGAAACTCCAAATTCATCACCCCTTTGAACAAGAATAATTGCCCCAGTGGTTTATCGGTGGTGTCATCTCAGATTGATTACTTGTAGCCGAAAAAGGGTCTCCGCTAGGTATCCTGCTCAGACGTCGAGGGTGCATATCAAAGAATACTTCGGGGGTGGCCCTTCCTCACCACAGAGAGTTGGAAGAGCAATTAAGCAACTTGTATCACATCCGACGCTGCATCTACCTATTCTTTCCCAGATCAATTGGGCACGAATTCCATTGGAATAGAAGCCTATCGCCGCATGATTGTTCAGTCAGGAGCTTCTGAGCAATGTGCTTCCGAAGAGTTATGGCAGTGGCTGGTCCTCTTTGCGGCAAGGAAAAGTTGAGTATACATCGGCCGTCCAATATGGAATAAAGGAATCGGGGGAGCTATGCGTGGTGCTAGCTATTTGCAGTAAATTCAGAATACAATGACTTCTTGAAAAGAGGTAAGAATTGAAACCTAGTTCGTGAATCATCAATGAATGATAAATTGAAAATTGTGCCATATAAAGTGAATGCTAAAAAGCAAGCTAGAATGATACATGATTGTGTCGACATTGAGATGTGTATTATCTCGATGATTAAAATTTAAATTGAATATATATGTTGTGGAATATAAGGATTTTGTTTAAATGCATGTATATATATGAATATATGGGAATAGAATGGGTTAATTGCCCATAGTTACGATATTGTAAGAAGTATTGTTATCAGTACTACATGAACCACTAAGGTTGCTATGAAACATTAAAGTTTCAAGAATGAGAGCAACAAATTGAACCATATCCACACCAATTAGAATGGTATACTCCTCGAGGTAACCATAAGATTGTCACACAATTCTCTAAGAATGACGCTATGCTACTCAATTAAATTTGAGAAAAACTAGGTCATATGACACGAAAGTGTTAAAGCAAGTTTAACATAGTATTGTGTTAACTTGATTAAAGAAGAGGATTTGACAATAATAATCGCTTAGGTGATGACAGAGGTTAGCCTTAATGGTAACTCTGGAGAATGGTTGTTGGATACTAGCGCCCAAAGGGATGTCTGTGATAGACGATCTAATATGGATTCTTTTTTGGGACGTGTGTGTCCTTGTAATGATTTAGAATATCTAAAGTCACATTCCCATATTATTCTCGAACGCTTGAGATAAACAAAAATTTTGTATCCAAGAAAAATGACCCATAAAATATGTGGTTAGAGAATCAGAATCAATAGATCTGATTTATCTTGATATGGGTAAACTTGA